CAAAAAAAAAAAATATATATATATATATGTACGGAGGGAGAGAACAAACTATTTTGACGTTTGTATAGAGTAGAAACTTCATGTTGATGTTTTTTTTTTGTTAACGGTAAACTTCATTGATCATAAATTTAATGTACAAGAGGTTGGTTGTTGCTTACAAAGCTAAGTGCATCAAAACTATATTGAATGAAGAAGTGTTTTCAAAGTATTGAAACCATAGAGTAACCGGTCCATCGGGTCTAACTGGGTGAGAGAGTCCCGCAGCGAGCTGATTTTCCGCCTAGTATTGCGCAGAATATCACGGCGGAGAACATCAGGTGGCTTAGCGGTGCTCCCATGGAGACAGATTGAGTAGAAAGAAGCTTGGAAGAGCAATTAAGCATGAGTTTTAGCAGTGGCTGACCTGGGAAGTGTACCAACTTGTGGATATGGCCCTGTAGGGTTTCCAAGATTAATGTTATCATATCACGCGTTAATTCGTGTAACAAAAAGAATAAAAAGAATAGCGAAATAAAATAAATAAAAATGAATATATTGTTGAGATATACCTGATTTTGAAGAATATTACGAGATATATCGTATATTGGAGATTTTATCGAATCCGGAAAATATATATTTAGAAATTTTATCATTATGTCTACTTTACTTATTCGATGTAAGACTCTCATCTATTTATATGTTATTTTGGTTATCAATAAAATTATCATTCTGCAAATTTCTATATATATATATATGTTATATATATAGCTACTATTTGATGTAAACAAAAATAAAGGATGCATGCAAAACAAGAGAAAGTGTCAGTGTCGGGGTTCGAGGATAACCGATGGAGCGTGCGAGGGAAACGCTGTCAAAACACGTGCATTGGGTCCATTCCCCTCTTCACATCCTCCCTTCGCGTGTCGGCCCCAAACTCAGCCACCCAGAAAACAAGAGAGAGTTGAATCGAATGAGTCATGGGAAAATTAGTTAGCGAATTTATTGTAGAAGATAAGATTTACTAACCCTACGAGAGAATAGAGATGCAGGTTTAGCAAATACAAATCATTCTTCATAACCACACCCGAATCCCAATTCCCCCCGTGCTCAGCAAAATGACAAAACCTGATAATTAAATCGTGTGGACGTAAAAGGGCGTGGCGAATATTGAGAAAAAAAAGAAAATTCCATCCGAAAATATCGAAGACAAGTGGCTGAGCCACCAAACCCTCTACCTGGCTCCAAAGGCTCTTGTCCTCTATAAGTAGGCACAACCAATTCATTCGATCCTCTGCTCGTTCACTGTACTCGTAAAGGCAATGGGGGAATGGGGGTTGTACGGACGCGTGGCGAAGAAGAAGGAGAGGAGGAGGAAGAGGGAGAAGAGAAGGGGTCGTGGGTGGGTCCATGTGAAGGTGAGGAAACTGCAAATGCTGATTCCGGGAGGGAGAGAGCTGAAGGCCGATCTGCTCTTGTCGAAGACCGTCGAATACATCTTGCAGCTCAAGCTGAAGATTCGCCTCCTCAAATCTCTCTCTGATGTCTATTCCCTTTGATCTCTAATTACGTAATTTTCATTTCTTTTTAAATGTTATCCTAAGTTTTCGTATTTCGACTACAAGTATATGTCCGTCTTTGTTTTGATATGAATAACATTTGAATCAAGAATTCCGGGTTGTTCTTAGATGTCTTTTTTTCTAACTCGTCGTGTGACAAAACTACCTTTCTTGAATTTTGTTTCATTTCATTTTTTTTTGTTGTTCCTTCCTGCTTTTTTTGTTTCCTGTCTGTTTATCCAAAACGGATTGTGTTTTATATATATATATATATATATATATATATATATATAAATTTCTGATTGTAGGTGAAAAAAAAAATCTGATTGTACAAAATTTTACGTAGATTTGCTTTTATTTTCCCGATATATACATGTGCTTGTTTTCGTTACTTTTACCTTTTCCTTGTTTAAATATTGAAATGATTTGTCAATTATTTTACTCAAAATGTTTATTTTTTGGATGTATGTACGCCTTTCTTCATTCACTCATTCACAAACTTTGGCAAAGTTTCATGCCATATTATATATCACATGATATCTCGAATGACATGAACTTTGTCGTCTCCATTCCGACCAAGATTGTAAATTGGATTTTTAAGATCAACGTATCAGAGATTGGTCCGAGAATGCAATCTTTTTTGCATTTTTTTTGTTCTTTAATCCGCATCTAACTTCCCGAGCGGACATTTAACATGGTCATATAAGAGTAGAGTAGAAATGGTGAAGTTCTGAATCAAAATAATAAGTAAGCGGATACATTAAAACTTTCCTAATCAACAGAAATAAATGAGACTATGTGAGAGTCCTTATATAAAACAGTAAACCATATTTAAAATGGCATTTTCGAGAGCACCATACGAGAGATCAATACCCTAAGGTCGTTATTTTGAAATAATAATTTAAATTACTACTAATCGAAAATCTAATAAAGCAATTACAAAGTAGGCTCGACCACAAATTTGGGCCATATCCTCTGTGCCGGCTGTCAGCAGCAGTAGGATAATTAATGGTTTGACGTTGGGCTCGTACCAAGCATGGACTGCCACAATTTTTATGATGGGCTTTTATTGGGCCCATGACCACTTTATACAGCCCAACTCAAACGGTGGATTATTTCAAAGATCTTCTTTGTTGTGTTTATTGCCGATGTTAAAACTTTCCACGAGAGCCATAAATCACCACAAAATCATTTGGGACGAATTACATAAAAGGGGAACTATGATGTAATCCCAAAATCCAAAATTTTGTTTTGCAAGACCAAACTGTGGGTGACTGAATACAAAGGTTACACCATCTTGTTTCAGACATGACTAAGGAACAATACGGAGCTTCTGCAAATCTCATCTCCTCATATCACTTTCCGACCGCAAAGTTTGGAACTTTCTTTTTGATGAACAAAAACCCTACAACTCAAAACCCAAACAACACGCCCATACCTGTTTCTCGAGCCGATTGAAGAATTGGAATGAGAATGATGTTCTTGACGCAATAACAGATAGAAGCCGGACCATCTTCTTAACTTGGTTGATAGAAAAACTCGGCCATGGAGCTGTAAGTATCAAATCCTGTGCTCATAACCCACGAGGGAAGTTGTTGATCTGTCCTTCTTCAAGTACATCCTTTCCATCCACCTTGTACCCCATCCTTATACGCATAACAAGGGATTTCTGGGATCAACATGAAATACGTTCACTGGTTAGTCACCGAATCTGCAGGATCCAATTCGTACACCACGTATATACATTCTCTATTTGCATGTCAATCAGAGTGTTGCCCAGTTATTATTCTTCTCGACAATGAGGAACACTCATACCTTTCCGTGCTGGCTGTTAGTGACTCTTAGATTCTGTGTGATGGCACCGTTGCCACTTGCGGGGAGTGTGTTACTGCTAGCTGGATCCAAATGCAGCTGGAGGAACTGGAGGTTGGTGGGAACAAACGCCAATAAGCTTTAGAAAGATTGAAAAGAAGAGAGACGAATCTTAACAATACATGCTCCCTAACTCTACCAAACATCGTTGATCAGTCAGGATATAAGCAAAGAAAAACAAAAACAAGTGACAGGTGAGCTGACCTTTGGAACAGCGGCCTGGAAAAGAAAATCTGTGCAAGTATTTGGAGATAAATTAACAAAAGTAGCCTGGATGTTTGTCGTCTGTGGATTCCCAGGTGTCTTCGAAAAGCAGAACTCAATTTTCACGGAGCTGCTCTCATAGATGACAACAGGTGGATATGATGAACCCTTTTCCTCTGCAACAGGAGGAAAGTCGATGATTGATTCTTTATATCGAGAACTTCAACAGCTATACAGAAGGAAGTTTTCCTTACCCTGCTTTGATGGGTTTGCAGAAAGGCCATCCAACAAATCAACCATACCAGCAGGCACGGCCGGTGTTGATGAGGGTGGAGTGGGTGATGAAAGTACATCCAACAAGGCAGCAGAGGATTTATTATTGTCCTTAGCAGCTGACAAGAGATCAGGAGATGCTGAACTGTTCTGTGCAACAGGAGGCGATCCAATTGACAGAAGATCCAGCAATAGATCTGTCCCTGCTTTTGGAGCTTGGGTTTGGTCTGAAACTTTCATAAACACGGAAAAAACCCAATATGAATTAACCCGTTGCAGAGAAGGAAAACAGGTCTGAAAACATCGCTCAATCAGAGATAAATATCAAGTGGATGTGCTGTAAAATGGAAGAAACTACTTCTTCTGAGATGCTAAAGAACTGACTTGATAGTGCAGCGGATGAACCTAAGTCAACACCAAGAAGATCTTGAAGGAAATCTCCACCAGATGAACTAGTTGCTGCTGGAACATCGTCAGAACTCAGGTCCAGTAAGTCCACGAGAGGAGATGCATAAGGTTTGGTGACACCATTTGGAAGATTAACCGAAGGCTTGCTGGTTGATGAAACCGATGTAGGTAGAGAGCCAGCCCTCCTTCCATTGAAGGTCGCCTCATCCAGTACCGGCATTCTCTCGACAAGAGAAGACCTGTATGTATGGATACAAACCTTACTTTCATGAACTTCAAGGAGCAGTTAGATTAATAAAAGCACTAGAAGATGGATCAAGAAGAGGAATAGGAGGAATTTTTCTGATTACCTGATATTCTTATGCCTCTCAATAATAGAATTGAATTCAATAGCCCTCTGCTGCAATTCCAGGAGAAGGCTGCCTTTCTGCTTTGCGATTATGTCTTTAATCCTCCTGTCATTGAATTTTATAAATTTTAAAAAAAATATCCATCGCCACAGTAGAATAATAAAAGACATGGATGAACAGGTGCACTGTAGTTTTTTATTTTAATTCAGAAAAATAATGGTCTCCAATGACTGGTAGATAACAAAAGAATATTGTTCTGACATTCTGTGAAAAAAAAAACCTCTTGTGAATTAGCAGGGTTAAATAGAAAAATATATCAGTAGGAAGAAGTAAGTATAAAAGCAAATATCAAACGAAGAGGGAACTACTTGAACATACTCCGAGCAAGATGGGAAACGGGATGAGAGCTTCAACAGAGAAACCAAAGCCATTGCTCTTGTAGTCATATCTGAGTTGTGACGTTTAATAGCAGCCTCAACAACGTCTACTGCATCGCTTTCAGCTACCTGCCAAAGAAGCCAATTATGCATTGAAATTCTAAAAGCAAAACAAAACAAAACCATGCAGCAAAGCACTGTATCAACGTATTAAATATGGTGCAGAAAAGGAGAACTGGATTGTGTACTGTTATAGGATCTTCAATATTAAGCATCCCCCCGTTGTTGATCAACAGATCACCGTATTCTCCAATGCACCATATAGCTACTCGAACAAGAGTTTCCTGATTGAAATTTCACAGCATTTCAGGAAGGATATAACAGATGCTTTGAGAGCCCTACAATTGTCGATGAGAAAAGTACAAGTCACCTGTTCTGAATATGTCATGAGTGCTCTGTACAACGCCCTGACTGTATATCCATGAAGTTCAGATGCATTGCTTATCACGACAATAAGTGCATGCCACACATCATCTTTCACAAAATTTCCAGCCTACTAGGCATGGAAGAGAGAACAGTAAGTTCATGGCAGATACATAAGATCTCTAAGAATGTAGCAAACTGGCCACATGTTAATAAATAGGGTAAATAATATATCATGTTTGAATCCATACCTCGGACAAAACCTTGAGCATCTGATCAATGTACCAGATTTTTTCTGGAGAAAACCTACATTACGAAAAGCGGAAAGTCAACAAAGCGCGCTGAAAGTCACCTCAATCAAATAGATATTACCAGTCTAAAAGGATCAAAGACTACATGTAAAGCTTAACCTTTCTAAACAGTGTAAGTGAACTTACCTTTCAACGATAGAGCAAATTTTTGCACAGAGATCCTCCTTAAATTCTTGGTCACTGACTTCCAAATAATCAATTAGCTCCTTAGCCAGTTGCTTGGCATTATTCTCGTTTACCAAAAGATATACAAGCTCAAGTGCTCTTTTCCGAATAGAGGCATCCGAATCCTAAATTATTGACAGAAAGAGAGCCAAAATCAATTGGTCTTCTTTTGTAGCTACACAATAAACTGTTTCTCTAGGGAAATTAGTAATTTACCCGATTCACGAGTGCACTAAATGCTATATAATAAAGAAAAGAATTACTACCTTAACACATTCCAATATTGTAGCTCTGTGCCTTTGCACTGCTTGGTCATCGAATGAGATTGCTTTCATCAACATGTTCAATGCAACATATCTGCGAGGTCGAGATTTAGACTTCAGAAGAGCAACCAGCTAACAAAGAAAGGAAGTAACGCAGGGATCATCTCATAACAGATAAAACAGAGCTTATTGCAAACTCCAAGTCAGAGCACATTATACTTCATAACACTAAGCAAACCCAATCAAAGATGATGTACAGAAAGAAAAGAAGCTTATTCTCATCTAGATATCATATCAAAGCGAAAATCGATGTTCAGGAGCAAGAACCTGATATTATTGTCACGATTAGATAGGAACTTTCCCAAGATATTGATAGCAAGCACACGCAAGCTACTAGTGTCTTCAATGCCCATGATCGTGTCAACACATTCATAAAGAACGGCATTTCCCGCATTTTTATTTGACTCTGTTTTTGTTGCCACCTACAAAAGATAGCACAAAGCCAAATCAAATAAACCTCTCTAGGCATCAAAACAAAGGTAGGAAAATAGTCCAGAATAAATCCCTCACACTCTGACTTAAAGGCTGTAGCTGATTAAGGGTAGTTCATTCACAATAGACGTATGTAAAAGTAGCAGCTATGCATAAGGGATTCAAATAACTTCCTTGACAAAGAACTTTAGCCGGGCCAATAGATCCATATGGTTCTATACTCTTTTGCTCGTATAACCAAGAAGAACGCATTCCTATGGTTATACATAGATAACTTTTTTTGTGATCTAGAAGTGCTTTATACATTATATGAAAACTGTGAACCATAACCAAAATTAAGGGCAGCATAAGCCTAGAGTAACCTGGGCAAGTATGTCAGTCATCAGATCACTAGCATCAGCATCACCCTGGCCCAAAACTCGCAGGAGTTTAAGCAGTCGTATGTGAAGAAAAGGATCTGTGATCCCCGCAACATCATACTCTGGCTGATATGAACTATTTGCAATATCCCTCAAAGTTTTTACCAGGCCTTCAGTACATCTCTGTAAACAAAGAATAAAGAACAAAAAAGTGTATCAAACTGCCAATACACATGAGATTAACCAAAACAGCCAAGAAAATTCCAAATAGTGAAAACAGCAGATATGAAACTAACTTGTGCAGCAGTAGACTTGATTTTGGGGTAGAAATATGATACCAAAAGAAAACAAAAACAAAGAAGCAACACACATGCTTGCATGCTGCATGTATGCATAGTACGCTATATTACAAGGTTTTTGTATGGAGAATAGACTGGTCTGCAATTGATATACATTAGTCTACCTTTCTAAAGTATTCGAGAGCTTCATCACTGATTTTACATAGCTCATAACAAAGTTGAACTCCTGTTATGAGAACTCCATGATGCTTTTCTTTCAGTAATGAAGCAGCAGTATTTACAAAGTTTTCTGCAAGATCGGGAACTTTCCTCACTATTCTAACGGAGCACAGTGCTGCCTGCACGCCATTAAAAGAAAAAAGGTTACAGAAACGGAGAAACAAAATCAGCAACAGCATTTATAGTCCATGAAATCATATACAGGCACTTGATGACACTTCACCTTTTTACGAATATTTGGGTCACGAAACTGGAGTAGTCTTTCCACTTCTGGTGCAAGATCACGCGCCATTTCTGCTGAACAAATGTTTCCTAAAGCACAAAGGGCAAGTCCTACAACATACTGGTTTGAGTGGTTAAGATCTCTGCACAAGAGTCAAGGTTACAAAATATGGAACAACCCTACTATCCCAGACCCATCAGAGTAATTGACCCAATAACCAAATTCTTTCCCTTCGTCCTATAAAACAAACAGCTCAGCAAGATGAAACATAATACACAAACGCGTGCAAGGATCATAATATTAATCTATTAGGAAAAGGATTAAGGATACTGCTTCAATGAGTTCGTGACCAACATCAAGACTTCTTGTCTCTCATCAAGAAGCAACATTAGGCCAAGATATCCGATCCTTTTCTCGGGAAACCCAGCAGAAGCAATCAATTTCAAGCATTCCATCTGCCCAAAGTGTGTTGGGTAACCCAGCATGTGTATGAACATGAGCTTTGCAAGGTTACGATGCCTATAATGTGGATCATCTTCGTTAATGGATGCACGGATATCTGCACACTCTTTTCTTACAACAGCACGCTCCTCGGCCGCTGTCTTGCATGCTCGTATAGATCGGATCATGTCCCTAAATCATATAAACATGTGCCCACAATTTCAGAATTGACATGAGCGGTGCAAACTGAGTTGACTTCAACATAACCAAGATCCAATTCTAATACATCCTTACTTATATTGGACAGAAAAGGTAAAACAAAACCAATATCCTACGTAGCCTAGTCTCTTGATTATGTTCGTTAACTAAACCATAACCCTACGGAGATCAGAAACAATAAAGACAATTTCAACTTCGACCCAGAACAAAAGCCACCATTAATAGGAACCCAATCCTAATCTGAACAAGCTCAATTTCCTGAAATCCTTCTGTTATTCATACATATTATCTAGCAGCACTCTACAGCTGATCAAGAACAGAAACCGCTAAATTCATGCTCTTTTGACTTCAAAATGAACAAAACAAAAAAATTGAAATGAAAAATCGTGAATGAAAACGAATGAAAGTGAATTAATTGAGATCCATTTTCTCAAACACCCTTTGGCATCAAAATTCACAGCCACGCATCTAATCGGGACCTCGTACAGCAAACAATGACCCGGTAAGAATAAGAATGAGAAGAAGATGAGGAAGAGAACCCAATTACCTTAGACGGGTACCGGAAGAAAAGGGGTTCATTATTGGGTCAGGGTTTAAACCTTCACGCCGGGAAATTTCAGGACGAAACTGGAATGGGATAGACCGAGCACAACCGATTTGACAGAATATTCCGATTGGCTTGCCGGAGTTCCGACTTTTCTGAATCAAGACGATCGAAGAAAGAGTGAGGATTTGGATCTCAGCGTCGACGCAGGATGTTGGTTTTATTTTTCTTTATTGTTTTTGTATTAAATTTTTCTTTTCCGGGGATGATGGTGTCGAGAGCAAATTATAATTCAATATTACAGAATTGGCCTAAAACGACGACGTATTCTTTCGTCGCCGGAAAGCCTTACCTTCTTAGCGGTCCAGAAGTTTCGACCAGGTGGTCAATCCCTTGAAATCGATTGGGCCGAGTTGGGCGGCCCAATGTTGAAACGGGCTGAGTGAAGAGAATCGTCGATTTCACAAGTATACCACGTGGATTGACATTAAAGCGGTTACAGTGCTTCTTGCTATACTTGGCCGCACCGTAGAATTCCTCTGAAAGATGGCCTACACTTATTCTCCTACGCAAGCAGCAGACTCATCACTTTCCCTTTTGAAATGGCTCTGCGTTTCGCTGCACTCTCCCTCTTCTTGTTCTTCCTTTGCAATCTGGGTAAAGGAAAGACTACTCATTCTTCTCGGATCTCGAATCTTTACTCGGTTTTTTTCATCTGATGTTAGCGTTTCTTCTTACAGTTAGGGCTGATCGTGTTCTGGAAGATGGGTACGAGGTGACGACGGTGTTCGACGGCCGAAAACTACAGGTCAACCCACGCGTCGTCCAGACTCTACCAGGATCGTTCGAGCTGATCGTCCTCGATTCCCCCGGAAGCACATTCTACACTGTATCATTTCCCTTGTCTTCGGGTACATACTTAGCATGGTTTTGTGTGTCTATTCGTATAGATCACTAGGGCAGCCCGGTGCACAAAGCGTCCTCGTTCTCGTTGAGCGGGGGTCCGGGGAAGGGTCTCACCACAAGGGTGTATTCGTATAGATCACTGAGGGTGTTAAAATCATGTATGCTGGAAGAAAGTTTTGGACTTGAATCTTTTCTGACGCAAAGTCTCGTCCTATGATTTGCTTCCGAAGAACTCCGTTTGTTTACGTACATTTTGTATTCGTAGTCTCTGATGAAATGGTCTACCGGTACGAGAACGTCCACGGATTATATATTTTCAAAGGCAAATTTCAGATTTTGTTCTCATTCTTTTTGAGGAAAGTTGTTGTATTCAAGTTGACTTGGAAGTTTGTGTGTGTGCGTGAGCAGATAGCAAGGTTAAACGGGTTGCTGGGGATGGAGTTTCGGGTAATTCGGATGGTGAAGCAGGTAAGAGCCGGTTTGATAAGCCTCGGAGTTTTGCTGTGGATGCTAAAGGGAACATCTATGTCGCCGATAGGAACAATAAATCCATACGCAAGATCAGTCTTTCAGGTGTTTCATTTATCTAGTTTGTGTTGTCACTTGCTAATAATGTCCTTAGTGTTCATACTTGTCTGAAAATCAAGTCTTGGGTGATGATTTTGGTGTGGTTGGAACAACTTCAAATGCCCGGTTTACTGTAAAGGCATGCTAAATTATTCTGATTATGCTGTAGACAGTTGAGGTAACCATCAGTCTTTTGTTGACCTTACTTCATAGGTACTGTTACCACCATTGCCGGAGGTGTCTCAAAGGAGCTTGGACGTACGGACGGACCTGCACAAAATGCAACTTTTTCAAATGATTTCGAGTTCGAGATAACTTTTGTCCCTCTCAGATGTTGTTTGCTTATTTCTGATCATGGAAATCAGTTGATTCGCCAGATCAATCTGAAGAAGGAGGATTGCCCTGGAAACTCTCATTCCAGTATGTTGCTCTGTTTTGCATTCATTTACATCTGATGCCATTGATGCTCAATTAAACCATTCACTGAAACCGATTCAGTGTTTCTAAGACAAGAAACTTCAACGATGTCTCTTTTCGTGTTTCAGAGTTGGGGATGATCTCAGTTTGGACTGTAGGGTTTCTTGTCCTTTCACTACTTCTCGGCATAGCCATCGGAATTGCTGTTCGCCCTTGTGTCATTCCTCGTGTAAGTTTTACCTTTATCGTTATAGTTTTTGTATCTTTTACACCAAATGTTTAAACATATTATTAACTGCTTAACCAATCGTTGTAGACAGGAAGGCGGGAACCTCCTCTCGTTCATCACGACATGGAAGCCTTTCCTAATCAAACTGGGGAAACAAGTGCTGACTCTCTTCTTCGACATCAGAAACGAAGCTGCTAGATCTAGTGTCTATTCCGTACTAAGTAGACTAGTTAGACTAATCTTATCTCACATTTCCCTGATGTCTCAACTCAACTATGTAATTATTCAACCAATCCAACCCAAAAAGGCTGCTCCTTTACTCGACCCTGATAGCCCTACCTGTAGTAAGGCGAAACCGTCGCAGAGAATCTCCTGTGATCTGAAGGATTTGATAAGTTTCGACGATGCCTTAGATTTGAAGAAAGATGAACAATGTACTGTCCAAGAGTTGAACACTGTCTCATCTGGATCTAATGGAAGGATAGATGATATGATAAAGGCTCAGGTTGAAGGGTTCTCTAAGACGGCTGAGGAGAATTCTGCAGTTTTTGGTTCTTCCTTTGGCGAATTGGGTTTGGCCAGGAGGAGGAAAGTAGCTCAAGGGAATGGCCCGATGTGATGTTCTTCCTTTTTTTTGTGTGTGTATGTATTTCTACTTTATTATGTTTAACTTCAACATCTACAAGTGGATTGATATCGAGCTAAGCGTTTGGGTAGAAATGAATAATAATAGTTGGGAATTGACATTAGGAATATTCACTATGATTCCAAGAAACAAAGTTTGCAACTTTCTTACAAGATAGATCTAGATTCACCATATACCCACATATAAACCCCATGCATGAAAGTACCTATATCCAAAATCACCGAATTGCCAGCATAATCTCATCAAGGAGCAGCAATAATCTCAAATCTTTTTCACATGTACTGGTAATTTCCCCACTGAGCTCTGGACCTAAGATTCTGACAGTTGCTCATTGGATCTCCATACTCCACAGCCTTGGCAGCAGCAGCAGCAGTGTTCAGCTTGCAGTCATGCTCTTGAACTGACCCAAAGACGATCTCATTATTCTTCCCGGAGCTCTGCTCATAATATGTATGAGGGACAGATGAGTAATGCCTACGGTGATGCTGCTGATGCTTCTGTTGCTGCTGATGAGGGAATTCAGTGTCCCCCCAGCTGCTGTAAAAGGCTTGACTCTGACGCAACTGTTGCATTTTCTCGGCATCTTTGGACATGAAGGCATAGGTTTTCCGGGGTGTCGGGTTTCGGGGCTCAACGGGAGGAGGCTCATCTTCATCTCGTATGACAAAGCTCTCTTGAACCGGCCAAGAGATTGCAGCAGCAGACTGCTTTGTCTCATGAAGCTGGAATCTGACTGTCTGCTTCTTTCTGAGACCCGGAAGTATTCCACTTAAAATCTCCATGAAAGAGGCCCAAGCATTAGAAATGAGATTGCCCAGCGATATAAAGAAGCTTTCCTCCTGTTTCTCTTGATTGTCTTCTGTAGGAATCAGAGGCTGTCTGGCTGATTTCAGTGGCTTTTGATCCAGGGCTGGGTCAAAGATATCTTGATCCTAAAAATACACAACGTACATGTTAGAAGACAAGAAGAAATTCTGCTTAAGATGTTAGAACGAGATTACTGGCTCACATTATAAGAAGACATAATAGATCCAACTCTACGTTGCAACAGAGCCAGCATATAACCAAAGAAACCTGCAGCAACGAGCACAGCAATCCCTGCAACAAAATTTGAACATGTAGAATATAAAGATGCAGATTTGACAGGACAAAAGGGGCAGTAAACAACGATTTGCACTGAAAATCTACCAAGAGGAAACCCGCTTCCATACTGATAGGCACAATCATCGAAATGGAGTTGGATTTCTCTGATGGCTCTGTTTCCTCGGTCTATGACGAGTAACGAACAACTGCTTCCCACATAAACAACGTCAAAATCATTGGAAAATTTGGCATCTTCGCTCGGACCATCCACATGGCTTCCTCCCCGACCAGTTTTCCCTCCGGCTATGGTTGTAACAACTACAAGGAAAGTTTTTTAAACCCGTTGTGAGCTATAGATTGTCTTTGAAAAAAAGAAAAAATGTCATATAAAATCTCCTAATCATCCCTGGATGTGTTAGAAGCTTTCAATCTGATTCAAAAGCAAATATACACAATGTACAGACAAACTTCACTTGGTAACCATCAAGCGATAATTTTTTCCAAAAAAGAAAAAGAAAGGCTGCAGGCCATCATAGAGCTCAAATATGAGTAAAGAACAAGTCATACCTCCATCACTTATCTTTCTGATAGCATTATTCATTGTGTCAGCCACATATATATTTCCTCTATCATCTGCTGTAATGCCCTTAGGATGGTTCAGCCTCGCCTCTCTTAATCTCCCATCCACATGCCCCGAATATCCTTCAGGAGAGCCAGTAACCAGTCTCGGTCTGCTATCTGCCAGTGTCCAAGTGTTTCATGTGCGTAAGAAGTTAGTGTAAAAGGCCATTTCATAATAAGAAATCGACAGTACACTTGAAATGGTGATCTAAATTCAGTTCAAGTAAAGGTTATGTGAAGAAAGAATTAAGCTTTCTGCAATCTGTAAGCGTAATTCTCAGTCTCTGATCTAATCATTTTGGACCAACAAGTAGCTTGGATACGACAAAGAAACAGCAAATAGCAATATAATACTAATATGTAAGATCAAACTCATTTTAGTATCAAATACTTCCATTTAGCCATATAAAGCAATCTGAGCAATCCATGTGCACTACATACAGATAAAGCCATAGTTTTCACCGTAAACACAGTGATAAACGTAAGCCCCGAATTCAACATCATAGAACCAACACCAATCAGACAATATGAAGCTCATCAAAGAATATTGAAATGTAATTACGAAATCAACATCAATCGACAGGGGAAAAAAAATAAAAGAACCCACGGAATCAGATGCAAACCCAAGTGGGGATCCAGTAAGAACAGTCAATCGATCGGACAAAAAAATTAGTTTCAGATGATGTCGGCTGCTGACGAAGCGGTGATGGTACTTACACAGAGAGAGAGAAGATGATATCTTGTAAATGTTACTATTCGAAGAATCCAGAATGACCAGCTCGCCGTTTGGAAGGACCTCGACGGCATACGGTTCGACGCCGAGCTTGCTTCCATCGAACACTGTCTCCACTGTGTACCCATTTTCGTATCTCACCATCGACCTGGAGGAAATGGCTGATGCAAGGAGAAAAAAAAAGGAAACCCGCGTATATTTGTCACAACCAATTCGTAAAAGCAACAATGAGGCCAAAAAATGGTGGAAAACAAATAGATTTACAGAAGATCAGTATCCGAACCTGTTTTGGTGGTGGTCTTGAGGGACCATAGCCATTTCATAAGGGACGAGCCGTGATTCGAGATGAAACCATTGATAATCTCTGCCAAAGGTGAACTCGAAATATGAGCAAAACCAAATCCATATCTAAAGGGTGGTAAAAAAAATGAGCAGCAGGAGAAAAACTTACTCGCCGGTGAATTAGAGGAAGGAGCAGGAGCTACGAACCCGGAGAGGAGCAGAATGAGAGTGCCCAGAAACAGAAAATTGTTACCCATTATCACTTGGATCCAGGAAAAGGAACCAGGAGAACACGTAGAAGCAGCCACAGAGATTCCAAATGAGTAAAACCCTAGTTCATATCGAGAATCTTACGGAGAAAAAGTAGGAAGACAGCGAACAATGTGAAGCTTAAATTACCAAAAAAAAAAAAGAGGGGAGTGTTAGTGGGTTGCCCTTGTTCGAGTTATCGATCAACGAAAAAACGAAGAAGACGAAGGAGAATGAGGGGGGGAAAGCAGAGAGCTTAGATTGCCGCAGCAGTGTAAGAAAATGGGAAAGGAGTGAGGACAGAGTGAGAAAGGAAGGGGGGAAAAGGCGAAGCAGAGAAAAAGAAAGAAAGGCAGAGAGAAAGAGAGAGTCATGTGATGCGATCAACGTCACCCTTTTTAATTCGATTCAGATTTTTCCGGTTGTTTATTATTAATTAAATTAACGCAACTATATTTGTTAGTATATGAATGATTAACTTTTGCATGTAACCCAAATGTTTCCGAACGATTTATCATATTTTCACCTTTTTCTAAAAAGTTGAAGCATTTTTCATATCGATTGATAAATTTTAAAGAAATGTTAAAATGTCTAAACTTATTTCCCTATTAATTTCAAAAAAATTTAAAATATAACTTCAAATTTTTTCATCGACATTTTTTTAATTTTTTTAAGTTTCATTATTAAAAAATAATATCTAAATATTTAAAAGTTACATTATTTTAAAATTTTCCCTCTGTTTTATAACTAATTCGATCTACCATTTGTAAACAAAAAACCAAATTAATCGTACGAAAAACTCAAATATATATATATATTCTTAGTGGTTTGTCTGAAACAGTTATGGTATTTATTCTATTTTCCTGACATTAGCATAGATAATAATACATAGTAAATAGCTAAATTCGCATAGTTAAATTCTCATGAACCGACATTATGATGGCTCCGCAAATTAACTTAAGACTGATTATCCCATTGTCCATTAATGATAGATGCAGTCCCCGGCGGCTCACGCACACTATCAGAAACGATCCAATCAGGAAGTGATACGTGTCCACAAACGCCCACTGACTCTTTTACACGTGTCCGTTTGCTTTCGTGGGGTTTCTAAATTATTAGCAAGTGATCGTAGTTTTTACAAAAGAAATAGAAAAAAAAAAAGCGTCAAACAAACAGAACATTTATACTCTCGCTTCCTGAGAGTTTACTTATATATTCATTATTTCAAAATTCACATGTCGGTTTGTTATAATATCGTGAAATTAGCAGTGATTAAAAAAAGTTATAAAATTTATTCAACCGAAAAGTAATGTCCCGTAGTTGGGACATGCCGCTTATTTACTGGGCTCAAATGGTAAATTCTGTTTTAGGCCCATTCAAATCATAGGCTCACACGGTAACTTTTCATGTAGACCCGTTTAAATAATGGACTCCAATTGTAGACCCGTTAAAATAATGGGCTCACGTTATGAACCCATGATGAGTTTTGGGTTACACGGCCTTGACTACCAAAACAACGGGGGAGGGGGGGAGAGAGAGAGAAACAGGGCCCGTGGAATGTTTCCCGAATGGACAAGTGACTGCGAAGATATTCTGTCGGAAAGTGTGGAATCCACTTACGTCGGCTGTCAAAATCCGTCGTCCAATGAGAAGCCGAGCTGAACCTCTGCGCCAAACCCTAAGGGCGACCTTGGAAACTTCTCTCTCCCGGACGAAGAGAGAGAGAGAGAGATTCATTACTCTCTCTATGTTGGGGCAGCTTCAACCACGCGACGAACAAAGCCCCAATGTTTTCACTATTGTTTTGTGGTTCTAAATTATTATATTTTTAATCCCATTTATTTACAAAAAGAACTTACCCCTTTAATTTTTTTTTATAATTCGAAAATTCATCAGAAAATCCAGGTGAATATATTTCTCTCCGCACTTGAATTTGAACCCAATGTAATACAAGGGAACATACACACATATGGCAACATATATATTCTGTACATAATGTCTCTTTCCTTAGTCATCTCTTTCCATCTTCATCTTCGTGTCTGTACTAGGGTTTGGGCTCTTCCTCTCTCTGTATATACTATGTTCAATAATACAGATCTTATCATCGCTTCATACAAGACACCTCATCGTGTACTTGTTCATGTAAGAACATGCAAACTTACCACTAAACCACCCAAATTTGGATTCTTCCCGCTTTAGTTAAACAGTGTCGTCTGAAAATTTTCACGTGGAAACAGTAAATCTTGATGTAGACATTTGTCCAGTTTATTTTGAAATTAATCTCGTGGATCTATTGACCAAAAGTTCCAAGAGAGAACTCTAAAAAAAAAGTTGTAGCATGTGTTTACCCCACGGTGTTATTAGTGGGGTATGCTATTGGTTTGGTTATTTAATGATCGTTTAATTAAGCGGAATCTATTGAACCTTTCTCATCATACTCATATATAGGTTTTGGTAGGCGCAATAATTCATGGATTGCATTATATATATATGGCGAATTTGCTTTCCCTTCTTCAAGTGTATGATTTTATTATCTAGTTGTATATATATGAAGTTAATCTTATGTTCTAAAATATCCAAGTGATATATCATATGGTTAACTAGGAAAATATAAATTGTATATATATATATATATATATATATATATATTATTCACACTAAAAAAAATACCCGGGCATGCAAGAAAAAAAGAAAACAAAAGAGATAATGAACTCAACCAATGCTATAATCTTTTGTGAGAAGAAATTAAACTCTTTTTAGAAAAAGCTGAAGAATACCGAATTTAGGACAAACGTGCTCTCAAATTTAGAAAGCTAAATGCCCGTAGGGTAATAACCCTATCGCTCTCAAAAAAATGTACAAAAGGGATGAGAAGGCGAGTGAAATAACGACAGCTCGACCAGGTTTCGACTTTTAAGGAACCCGAAGGTCGGGGTATGTTCGGTGCGTTTGCATGAAAATAATCATCCATATAGTTTATACATATATAGATCTGGTAAACCCCCGTAAGATTCTGATCTTATAACATAAAGTTAATATATCATAACCATTTATATTATCGCCTTTGGTGTTTGTCGTGTTGTGCTCTCCACCGAGCGCATGGAACTTTTGGTGACATGACCACGGACCCACTTGTGCTCGGACAAAATTACTCGCATTTATTTCGTTTGTATTAAGGTTTTGCACAACTTTTTTATTAAAATGTTGGCGTATTTGTAAGTCAGTTAACTTTCTAATACTATATATACCTCGTGCTTGGCACGTGCAGTAGTGAATATAGAATATGGCGACTTTTTCCCATTTAAAGTGGGTTGGAGACCGTGTGGTGGCTATAATGTCGACGGAGGAGGGAAAAGACGGGAGCATGTTCAGGAAAATATGTGTATTCTGCGGAAGCAGCTTGGGTCGAAGGCAAGTGTTCAGTGAGGCTGCTATCGAGCTCGGTGATGAACTCGTGAGGAGGAAGATAGAGTTGGTCTATGGAGGAGGAAGCGTTGGTTTGATGGGTCTCTTGTCCAAGCGAGTCTACGAAGGTGGTTGCCACGTGCTCGGGTGAGTTTTGGGTTTCCATTAATGGATTGCATCACTCTACTCTACATTCTGATCAGTTCCTGATAACCGAGCTTTTGATCTCTTGTTTAGAGTTTTATCCTTGTTTTCTTGTGGGTGCCCTCTTCCGGTGAAGTTTTCGTTTGGGTTCTTTTTTATGAACATATTGTGTATCATTTGATGAAATTTTCAAACATATCTTTACCATTATAGAGAGAGAGAGAGAGATGTTTAATTAGGGATTGTGTTTATATGCATGCATGGGGATGTAAATGCAGGGTGATTCCAAGGGCTCTAACGTCAAACGAGATATGTGGGGAGACAGTGGGAGAAGAACGAGTGGTCGCAGGCATGCATGAGAGGAAGGCGTCTATGGAACAAGAAGCGGAAGCCTTCATATATAGCACTACCGGGAGGATATGGAACAATGGAGGAGTTGCTGGAGATGATAGCATGGGTTCAACTCGGTATCCACAACAAAACCGTCGGTGTTTTGAACGTCGATGGCTACTACGACCCATTTGCTTTCCCTCTTCGACAAGTTTCTTACTGAAGCTTTCATCAAACCACGTGCTCGTAGTATTGTTGTTTCTGCTTCAACTGCCAAAGAACTTCTCCAGAAGATGGAGGAGAGATATGCCCATGGAAACCCTAACTGAAGTATATGTCTTTAGTCTGTTTTGATGTCGTGTTCAAGATGTTGGGAGATTTGTTTTTAGGGTAAAATAAATAAAAATCCCTAAAATTGTAAAATGGTGGAAAACAAATTATTGAACGGATAAATTTAGTTCCAAACTTTCAAAATATGTCATTCTAATTTTTAAATTTGTTAATTGGTATTTGAAAAAATCTTAACGATTTAATTAAAAAATAAGTTTGAGAATTATAATGACATATTTTAAAATTGTGTACAGATTTTGTAAATTGGGAATAAATTTATTAGAAAAGTTTATAAATGTATTTTTTTTTATCGTTTTATAAGTTCAATTTTTTTTTTATAAATTTTACTTTTTTTATATAGATTATATAAAATATCTAGGAATATTGTCGGGTATATATTTCATCTTGCCTTATACTATCCAGGGTTTCACCAAGGATTGTTGTATAAGATCTATAAATGTGTCATTTTGCCATTAGGGGACACTATAATCTCCACAAGAAAAAAGAAGATGGAGATAGGGAGAGGAGGTTGTGTCCGACCTCTAGGCTTTTGCAATTTGTTAGAGATGGAGGCATGGGGTGTGTACAATACTCTCCGATCGGGATGAGAGAAAGGTTGTCGAAAGTTGGAGATTCAAATAGATTCACACAAACGACTATCTCATTGAAAGCGAACCGATATAAGCTCCCTTTTACGCTGCGAAATTTGGTTCACAAATATCACGAGATGGTAAAGAAAAATTGGTATGTGAAGTTCAAGAAAATATATCGAGAAACAAATATAATTGTCGATTGTTTGGCGAAATCTGCATTACGAGCGGAATTAAATTTCAAATGGTTGGATCATCCTCCATCTATTGTTACAACAATTAACAGCGGATTCGATAAAGATTTTAATCGAAAGAAAAATTTTATCATTGGATTAAATCTCTCCAATGGAAGGAAAAAAAGTAAAAAAAAAAAAGGAACTATATATGATATGTTAATTGAATGATATGGATTTCGATATAAATAAATAAATAAATATAAAATTAATCAATTCGAGTATAATATGAGAAGTTACCATCTCAATATCTAATTATGTGGGCATAACTTTCAGAATTTTCTATCTGAATATAAACGTATTGTTCGATTATATTTTATTTCGAATTTTAAAACTAAATTTACGTATTTTCGTTATTTGTTGGCTAAAACGAGTCTATCTCGCTTGAAATGGACTTTGTAACTTTTTGTGGGCCGAAATGTATATACCCAGTAGGCCCATAAGTCTAACAATACATGTCATACAAATTATTGGAAAAACTATGACAATTTGAATGAAATGTGGGCCAAATTAGTTATGGGCTGCGTCACCCAAATACCCACATAAAATCTGAATTAAGAAAAAGAAATAAAATTAAAAGCATAGTATATGTACTTCCCCCTTTATAATAAAACCAGGTTCGTCATTAAGTTCGACATTAACTAGTCCTTCTAGTCGCTTTGTCCGTCGGAACCCTAGAAATATCTCTCCACGGTAAGCCCTAGATCTCTGGTCGCATCTCTCTTCTCGCGGTAACAGTTCTCGGAAGCCCTAATTCGTCTTTGATTGTTCAACAGTGTCTTCTGTTTTTTTACTTGAGATTTCGCATCTTACGTCGGCCGATTGCTGAAGCTGTAATTTTTTTTTCTTCTGATTTTTCATCTGTCAGACAGGGTCGAGTGTTGGGAGGATGACGAGGGTTTATGTTGGGAATTTGGACCCCCGGGTCACTGAGAGGGACCTTGAAGACGAATTCAAGATCTTCGGTGTTCTTCGCAGGTGATCTCTTCGTTTGTTGTTGATTGTCTTGTCTATGTTCACCCCTGTTCTATGAAATTAACCTTATCGTGACAAAATCGCAGTGTGTGGGTAGCTCGTAGACCGCCTGGCTACGCTTTCCTTGAGTTTGATGACGAGAGGGATGCGATGGATGCTATCCGAGCATTGGATGGTCAGTGTTTTTTCCCCTTCAATATCATGTCTTCTGAATTCTCGGCCTGTTTCTAGTTGATTAAGTTTTTATCTTTACATGTCATGCCACCTAAATGTTTGCTTGATTCCTCGTGTGAAATATTTGCGCATTGCTCCTAGCTAGGGAACGGGGTGAGGATATTTTGTGTAGTCTTTTTCACGTTCCTCTAGTTAGAAAATTTTCTCCTTCCTGATCGTTGTGTTTTCGACCTTCACCCGCAGAATATGGTTCTAGCTTTAGTTTCTGTTACTCTTGGGTTTAATGAATTGTAACTTCTGCTTGAATACGGTTTTTTCTCTATCTACAGGCAAGAATGGTTGGCGTGTAGAGCTTTCTCATAATAATAAGGGAGGCCGTGGGGGCGGTGGCCGTCGTGGTGGAGGAGATGACATGAAATGCTATGAGTGCGGTGAACCTGGTCATTTCGCTCGTGAGTGTCGTCGAGGTCGTGGAAATGGCGGAAGGCGCAGAAGTCCTAGCCCCCGTCGACGAAGAAGTCCAAGTTATGGACGCAGGTGGGTGTGTCTAAAGGTTTTCTCTTTCCCAACATTTTCTTGTGTTGTGGCTACAATAAATCATTGCACAACTTATTATAGATCAAATCTTGATAAAAGTCTAAATGACTTTGCATATCATTTTTGCTTAAAAATAGTCCAAGTTTTGGATTTGGACGCAGGTCACAGGTGCGTTCAAAGCGGTTTCTCTTTTCTTTTTGTACATGTATTTGGATTTATGAAATCATATTTGTCTGAGGTGATGGTAATCATGGTATACATACCCAACAATGTTCCTTTGTTAAACTATCCAGGGTTTTCTTTGACATATTGTACACTGCAAGTACTGTTACTTGCTCTATGGGAATCAATTGATTGTTAAGTACTTGAAGACCTAGGTTCTTACTTCTATTCACTCATCTCATCACATTCAGGAGTCCCAGCCCTCGTGGAAGAAGATCCCCAAGGCACCGTAGTGTGACTCCGCCTCGCCGTGGACGCAGCTACAGCAGATCCCCGCCATATCGTAATTCGCGTCGTGATTCTCCTTACCGTCGAGAGTCGCCCTATGGCCGACGTTCACCGTATGCAAATGGGTAGGAGTTCTTCTATCCGTATGCCATTTAAGTTTCTTACACAGTTCACTAGAGCATCTGAAGAGTGAAGACTAGAGTTAAATCTTTGATATGCCTGTCTTGTGTATAGCTCATGGTCTTTTTTTATCTCCTTGCAGGGCTTGACATGCGGTTTGGTTACACCAAGCTTGTTGGGGGCATATCTGCAATGCTTTTAGTTAATGTAGGAAGTATCTGCTCTGCTTGTTGTTCTTCTACCAAAGCCACTTTGTTATGAGCAATGGGCATGGGCATGTCGTCATCTTTTTTAGAAACTTGGATTTGGAATTAACTGCTTCAGACTCTCTCCCAACTACCGGTTTGACTTTGCTGTCTTCTCTTCAGGGGTACTTGGAACTCCAAGGTCGTTTTTTTCCCTTTTAATGCTATATTATGGATGAAATATACGCGTTTGCTGAATGTGGTTTCTAAAAGGCTCTGGGTTTTTCCATCTTTTTTGTTTGTGAGGTATGCTACGATTTAACGGGCAAGAGACCGCGTCTCTTGTCGTGGCCATCTGCGCTGCATCTTCTTAAGTTGATCATCATCGGTTTCTCTCTCCCTCAACCTTGCTGTGTGTGCACCATTGTCATCATCAGCTAAGCTATTGCTTGTTATTCTGTTTGGCATAAAAAAACTCTTGAAAAGAATTCCGACTGTCGTCACTCCGCGTGCGGCAAAGACAGAGAAGCTGTTTCACTGCTCGACGTCTTCTTCCGCACTGCATGTCTTCTTGTCTTTCATGAACCGATCTCATCTGTTCGGCTTATTCCCTGCTACATCTTCCCTGTAATTGATCTCTGTTTCCACCTATTCTTCATGCCTTCCTCGTTTTGTGTAAATGTTCAACTCTTGGTTCGTTTTTCCTTGATTTCGACCTGGGTTAAAGCTTTTCACCGCAAAACAAACATAATCTGTCCAGAGTGATTTTGAACACCATTGAATCCAGGGTGAAGATGAGGGGATGGATTCTTTTTCCAAGTAACGAGCGAAAATGCCAAGTTTTGTGTCCAATCAACTAGGGAGGCGAAATTTTCAGGAAACCGGACGGCTGACCATGTCGGTTGAAAATTCAAACGTTGGCGTCAACTCACAAGTAAACGTCAATGGCAGAGACGACGACGCTACCTTCTTTGCCTTTCTATAGCAGCATATACGAAAAGGAAAGTCTGCAAAAATTCAGACCTGTATATATGCTTGATTGATTGTATTTCCATCTTTGATTCTGTAGGTTAAAGTCTTTACATTGTACATTAACATAACGAGAGAATAGAAGGAGCAAGTCGTTTTCTTCTGAAACTTTGGCTCTCTTTGATTCTTGTTACTTTCCGAGGAGCAACAATGGCGACGAAGTTCCAAGAGAAGCTCGAATTCCTCGACATCCTCAAACAATCTGCCAGACTCCTCCGCTGTAACACCAGTCTACTAATCTGGGTTTTCTTCAGTTCTGTTCCTCTCTTTTCTTTCTTAATCTTCTTCGAGCTCTCTCTCCAGAACACCCTTTACCACGCCTCCCTGTATCTCTCCCGACATCAAAGATACTCCAGTTGGAGTTATTATTATTACTCTTATGGAAAATCCATGCCCGGATCCGGCGGGGCTGTGGTTTGGCCGATGTTCCAGACATGTCTCCTCTACCTTTTCCCGTATCAGTTTCTGAATCTCTTCACCACGACGACAGTAGTGGCCGCGTCATCGGCCGTATACACGTCGGATGAACCGATGGGTCTTCCGATTTTGGCGCGGAGGTCTGTCGAAATCTGTCGGAACAGGCTTCGAGGCTGTCTGATTACGTCTCTGTATGTCCTCCTCTTCTCAACCTCCGTCCTCTTCGGCTTCATCTTCACTGCCACGAATTACTACTACTGGGCTTTTCTGTTCGGCCAATACGACTACTCCTATGTTCTTATCGATCTCCATGGAGAAGAAAGCTATCATTACAACTGGCCCTATGGCCAGGGCGACCTGACGAAGCTTCTGCTTCATATCTCTGTGGTTCTGCTTCACGGAGCAGCCTTTGTAGTTCTGTCAGCGAAGCTCAGCAAGTGGAGTGCGGGATGGAACATGGGTCTGGTCGTTTCGGTATTGGAAGTCGGGAGCGAGGAGGAAGCTGTCTATGGCAGTGATGCTCTGTCGCTGTCGGCTTGTTACGGAAGAGGACACGAAAGGCAAGGACTTTGGCTAATGCTCGTGTTCTTCGTGAACGCTCTGGTTCTGAGGCTCCCCTGTTTTTACTCGGACTGCAGTGCCAGTCGGACCGGGGTGTACTACACTTGTGCCTATGCCGGTTTGATCTGTGCGGGGAATGCGTTCAAATGGGTTGCTTGCGTTTTGTTTTATCACGAATCCAGGACCCGGGCTCTAAAGAAGAAGGCTGACCTTGAGGTAGGAGCCAAGGGATACACTGAAAGTTCGTGACTTTGGGATCAAGGTCTAAATCTCGGACTGGAAAACTATAAAAATGGACCCTTTTGGTCCTTTACCTTTTACTGTATTCAGTCATTGCTTTACTTACTACCCCTTTCCGAACAATCTTTTACTCATTATATTATGTTTTGAAGAGACTACCACTCTTATCACTAATGGAGCTCTTGTAGTCGCATAGACTTTGATAAAACATGCTGAGAACAACCCTGATGGGTTTCCACAAATCACAAAAAAAAAAAGTTTATTTGCTGCCTCAACCAATATTCCACCAAGATCCAATCGAAGAAGCAATCTTTCAATATAGTTTCTCTTTCTAACTGGTTTTCGAGTCTATCACCTTCTTCGCAAACGAAGGCAAGCAGAATGCGGCTGAATGAAGCTGATTACCAAAATATACAAATATCGTTAGGGATATCCAGTAAGATTAACTCTGTCCATCTTTATCATGGACCATTTTCTTTTTACTATGATCCAAAACTTTTTTGGGAATTTGTTTGTTTACCTGAGTGTTGTAGAACTTCAAGGGTCCTCCTTTAGAGTCAACATGGCTCTCATCAGCATCAATGGGGTTAACGGGGTGTTTGAAATCGACATGAGGCCCCTCAGTTGCACAGAGCATGAAGCCGATAACCCCACTTCAAAACATATCATTCTTGTAAGAAAGTCGGGTTCCTGGGCAACATGAAAAGTGATGCAGACATCATGTTATACATTACCTGGGGTATGTCGGGACACTGGTCCAGGCGTAATTGACAGAGCCCTTGAAGATTTCATGGCAGTTGGAAACAATGTCCTCGATGATGTGCATGTGAAGCCACATGCTCTCAGCCTGAGTGCACACTACCCCTCCTGGACGCAGAGCTCTTGCCACAGTTTCAAAGAAGGGCTTCTCAAATAGCTCTTTTGCAGGACCTGCCCACATTCGTTCTCACATATTAGATTGATTTTGAAGGAAGCCGAAAACTCTGACTCGATCCAACAGCTACATTCTGCTTCTTTACCAATCGGATCCGATGAATCCACAATAATTGCATCATAGGTTCCTTCAGCTGCACTCTTCAAGAAAGCAACTCCTGCAAAAAAGACTCAACTGATCAGTTCAAAAGAAGAACAGATCATTGGTTGAACTATAAATCATTTGGGAAGAGATGTTACCGTCGCCAATATGAAGGTTGACACGAGGGTCCTCATATCCGACTGCTACATGAGGGAAGAATTCCTTAGAAACCTGGAGAAAAGATCCAAGACAGTGAAAACTTAAGAAGCAAACTGAAGCAGAAAAAGTGTAAGGACCATACTCACATCAACGATTTAACAAAAAAAAATACTCACATCAATGACCATTTTATCGATTTCACAAATGTCAATCTGCTCAACAGAAGAATGGCGTGACACTTCCCGCAGGACTCCTCCATCTCCTCCGCCAATGACCAATACCTGATTAGATGCATTCATCACAAGAAGAAACCCACCTGCTTATATATATATTTTTTTTTAACTTTCGAAAGCAAAATACACACAGCATTTTGGTGCTTTGGCTTCTACCTGTCTTGGAAGCAGAAAGAAGTTTTGACATATGAAAATGAAAAGCGAGAAACTCTCAATTATCTCAACCTGTTTCTAAACAGACACTCTACCGCCACCCAATAAGATAATCATTCATGCTTGCTTAAAGTTTCTATTGATCTGATCAAGTTATACAATAAAGGAACTTTGATTGTTCAGCTATTGCCAGAAGAGGAGAAGCCTTGATTTTCCTTTTTTTTTGGGTTAGGAAGAAAATGATGGTGCACCTCCAAAAAGCAAGAAACTTTGATTTGATTCAACTTTCTTGGAAGCAGATGCAAGTTGTACATTGGAGAAATGAAACCTTTATTATCTGTTAGCACAAACCTTTCTTGGAAGCTATGATTGCTTCACTTGCCAGTTACCAGTGGTAAAAAAAATCAGTAAGCTCTACTTTACCAGAAGCCAACATAGTAAAAAAGTTGTCTTTTGTTGTTTGTTTGAAAAGCAAAAAACTCTGTTAATCTGCAGCATCTTTTTTTGGGGGAGGTTAACGGATTTGATGATCTCCATTTCTCTGCCATTATAATCTTTTAAAAAAACGTGAACTGCTCGAACTTTGATGGTTCAAAAAGTAGAAGTACCTTCTTGGGGTTAGGGATTGAACACAAGGGAAGATGGGCAATCATTTCCTGATACGCACATTCGTCTCTCTCTGTGAGCTGAATCACTCCATCCAGAACCAAAACCTTCCCATACGTTGCAGACTATTCAACAACCCAAAACAGAAAAAAGAGAGGTTCATAAGATTCTTACTCGATGAAAAAGTTGAGAACTTTAAGATAAAATGTGAACGTGATGCAGCTATTCCACCTGAAAAACCATCACTTGCTGGTAATCCGATTTTCCTTCAAATAAAATCTTCTCCACCTTCAAGGAGTGTGCCTCTCCTGCATCGTTTCAGAAATCCATGCACTCCAAAATCATATCTTTTTCCCAAGATTGTTGTAGTTCGGACAAAGGGGAACAGTTAGGAAAAAAAGGTGAACTGCAGGTTCAAGTCAAATAGCATTCCTTTGTCAACCAAAATTCCATGGTAAGGAGGCATAATACTTGATCAACAGCCTACTGGTAGAGCCATGGAAGTGGAAGGGAAAAAAGAAACAGGGAATCAGGATTACTTCAGAGAGGATTGAAGACAAATCTCGGGAAGAGGGACACAAAAGTTCCCACAGAAAGAAAGTTGGAGAAACATATAAACAGTTCAGGAAAGGACAAATGCAGAATCAGAACCTGATAAGATACATTTTTACATTGAAATGGGTAATCAGCATCTACATACACATATATGCAAATATATACCTATATGTATGTGCCCACATATTTGCAAAGCAAACATTGGATCCAAAAGGCGCAGAGAAAATGGCTTTTTCCCTGCAGCCGAAAGGCCTAAACAAGAAAAACAACGAGAACCGACCTGGCCACATGGAACTAATCTCGGAGAACCATCCGGGGATAACAGAGGAGACACTGCTTGACTCCTTGCCGTCAACGCCGTTATCAGCGGCGGCAGTGATCTCCGTATCCATTGAAACGGCGTTAGTAGTGGCGCCGTTATCCTCGTCTTCTCTCGGCCTCTTCACGGGCAAATCAATAACGGAAGCTTCTTGCGCCGCCATGCTTGCCCTGCCGAAACCACCCGAAAGCAAACCCAAAGTCTACACCACTGATATGGAGGGACGGAGATTAGGGTTGTTCGCCGACGCGATTCACGTGAGTCCTGAAGAGATGTATATATACTATATAGAGGGGGAGAGAGAAAGGTTGCCGTACGAATCTAACATTTTCAATTTTCAATTTGGGATTAATTTCGCGATGATAATTCGACAATGATAATCCAACGACGCTGCTTCCCCTTTGACTTTGCATCGGATGAATCCAACTTAGAAATTATGGTAGCATATGTCCCTTATCGGTGGTTGCGATTTGAAAAGAAAACGGCACTATACGACAGTCATGCATGGTAATTATTTATTACCTTTTTAAGGATTAATAATTATTGTGTATGTATATGTATATAATGACATGCATTTTTTATAAAACCATAATCCACCCTTTTTGGTGTATATATGGTTGCTAAATTATGTAGATGTCTCTGCTTATTCAACTATACAAAACAAAAATCGGACTATATAAATAACAGATGATTTTAGGCCCATACACATACATGTATGTATATAGCTATATTGATGGATGGTCATGACTCATGAGCAAGGGAATAAAACTTTATTCGTAGCGTAGACTGTGGACTGGAATAAATATTCGTATTATTTATTCTTTCTGGGTCATCGGAACCCCACGTGAACAAAATTGCATCTCTTCTTCTATTATGAATAATATTTCTTCTAATCATAAACTGGTTTATATTAAAAAAAGGGCTTAGGAAAATAATCAAAACACGACCTTTCGAGATCTACACATTGCAAAAAGACATCGTGTTAGACTTCTTTTAAGCTATGCAATAATTTGTTCAGATTTTAAAAAAAGAATTATGTATTTACTATTTAGTTATTTTAATGTTTTCTGAGGAGCCATTTATTCAGATTCGAGCCGAAGAAAAATCTTGGTGTACCGGTTAAGGTGTTGTCGTTGTGATCTTGAAATTACGGATTCGAATGCTAGATACAGTTTCTTGCACATATTTTTGTAAGGTAAAATTTATCTACAATATATTTTTGCGGTGGGATTCTTTACCGGACCTCTATTCTATAGGAAGATATTATTATTAGAATATTATCATTGATATGATTATGATTTACCTTAGATATTATGCCTAGAATATTCTATTGTATTTTGCTATATATTATGATGTATTCTTCTCATTATCAATAATAGAAAAACATTTTCTCTATCATGGTATCAGAGCTTCGGTTTTTGCTCTAATTTTTTTTCTTCTAGTCAACAATGTTGGTCGAATCCGAAAGCGATAGTATTATCATCTTGAGTATCGTCTTGCATTCATTTTGCTCTTTTTTTTTTCCTTCTAATTTTTTTTTCCGATGGCAATGTTCATCAGTGTCAACCCTAGCCGATGTGCTACTTTTTTTTCTCGATGACGTTCGTTTATCGATGTCAACCCTAGCCGATGTGCTACTTTTTTTTCGAGGATGTTCGTTTATCGATGTCAACCCTAACCGTTGAACTCTTTAAATATGGCTTTTAGTCTCTTTCGATTGGAAAACTCCGATCGTCTATCCACGTATTTGCGTTACTTATTTTTATTCTCTTCTCTTGTCCCGCTGCTAGACTATCACGCATTATGCGTCGCGCTATATACACCGCAGTTTTTTGCGCTGCCGCGACTTCATTGTCGTGCAACCCAATTCACGCATACGTTTCTCACTTTCGTGCCATATCAGCCTCTGAGAATACAACTCTCAAACTCTTCAAACGTTATCAAGCAATACCGATTCAAATCTGAACTATACCACCACATGAAAGATGATTCGTTTAATACGATCACAATTTCAATTTTCAGTTTTTATGTAACAAGATTGAATTCATCGATGATTCACCTCGAGGGGCATATAGAAAGATATTATTATTAAAATATTATTATTGATATGCTTATGATTTACCCTAGATATTATACCTAAAATATTCCATTATCAATAATATAAAAATATTTTCTCTATTACATTCAACAACGGGACGTTTTATGCATTTCGACTGACATTTTTTTGAGATTCGACCCAATGTCCCATGAAATTTATTATATTAATATGACTAACCAAAAAAGGAAATGCTTGAGCCCTTAATTTCTGTAGATTTGGTCGGCGTTGGATTATTCACTATTATAATCGAATATAATCATATGGTTTATGACTGTTCATCATAATTCATACCAACACAATAGAGCATTTAAAAAAAAAGGAAGGAAAAGTAGGTCGGTCGGGTTGCAGACGCGTACGTGTGTGCATATGACTAAAATAGTTAGCAAACTCAATTATTGTTGTACCTGCTCCCTTAATTTATGATAGAATTTCACCAATAAACATTAAATATAATATTTTTTACCAACCAATTCTTACTTTTTTTTTTAAATCGTTTAAATTATTATTTTTTTACATCTTTATTTTTTTGTAATAGACCCACCACTCGCGTCGAGATGCTCATTATGGGCCTGCATTTTTTAGTTAAGACATGGGCCTTATCATGCTTATTATTTTTTTGTTAAATACATTATTGGAAACCTAACATAGGCCTCTTAATAATAGCCCATTATGGGCCCTTTTTTTTAACACTTTGGGTTTTACGTCTGCCAACCGGCCCAACCCTTTGTCCACGCATAGTTAGAGATGCGGCGGTCCATTGCAGCCGTGCGCAATTCCAAGCATTTCCATTTTATGTTGTAATAAATATTTCGAAGAAATATTGAAAAAAACAAATTTGGTGATATATAATATATCAGCATTCATAGACGACCCCCTTTGTCTTTTTTTTTTCAACCAGTGTCACGTCAAAATAATTTATTTTTTAAAACGTCGTCTATTTTTTATACGGCTGAAGATTCGTTAAATGGTTACTTATTTATGACTCACCAATAGTAAACTATCCACGTGGGTATGCGCAAAGAGTGCTCCACCCAGGTTCGAACTCCACTATTGGCAAATCACATATTATCAAAAAAAAAAAAAAACTATCCATGTGCATGTATGTATATCAATGAAATGTTTATAAAGGAAACCAAATTATCTTATATATAAATATCGAGATAAGTTGTTTTTATATCCAATATATTCAAATATGAAAAACATGATATAGAAGTCCGAGATTAAGGCAGTAATAATGTCTTTCGGTTGATAAAAAATTTAGTAAATCAATCTAAATACCAAAAAAAAAGAGTTTATATAGTAGTCGGGTACCTGATGCCTTCATCGTCTTGGTCATGAACCCACCTAATCCCGGTTTAGGAATTTCGAATATTATGGTTGGTGTGTCAAATCAAATCACATCGGTCTAGAAAGGTTTCTTATGAATAATAGATTACTTTAATCGCCAATCGGACGAGCGAGAGAGTGTGATTTAACTCAACTAGACAGGCGAGGAAGTTGAAAATTAGATTCCATAATTGTAATAATTGATCTATCCACTCATAGTGCATCTGTTCATCACAACATAAATATCTTCATAAAAAAACATACAGACGCGCTTATCCAATTATCGTGGATAACCCTAACTCTAGGTGGCAGATCCAAAATTATCTTTAACTATAAATATTCTAAACTTTCATGGGATTATTATTTAAATTTGTATTAAAATGATAAGTAATGTTTAATTTTTTTCAAATAATAATATAAGTAAATTTAATTCTTTGAGATAGAGTGGGGCTAGTGAACCCCTTTGGTAACAAATGGGTCTATCTATGCTAGCTTTTATCTATTGCTTAGATATCCGTCGTACATCCACGAATCCACGACCCATATATGGAAAGGTTAATCAGTCTTAACTGACGGATGACAGATGAATAACCAAGGAATCGGATCCACGATCTTTCGATATAGGACCAACCACCTTACCAATTCATCTGCGTTTTTTCGAGGGATTTATCCACTTCAATATCATTTTTGCCTCATTTTTTTTTGAAGGAAATCCATTTGCTCCTCTCATATACACATACAGAAAAACCATATAAATATGTATTTCCTATTTTGGTCCGACTTTTAGTTTTATTTTTCCTAAGTTATGCCCCTGAATCACTAGTGAATGATGACACACACGTGATGGAGAAAAAATAAGTAGAAGACATAAAGACATGTCGCAATCTTCATGGTGTGCCACTTGCTGCTGTGGCGGGTCTCTCGCAAACTGTTCGCTTTGTGGAAATAATAACCCAAACGCAACGCCTTCTTTCTCTCTTTTTCTTCGTGTTTATCTTTTCTTTTCTTTTTTTCATTAGTGATACATGCAATGCTTACGTAGGATATATTATTAATATATGATAAATCCATTTTGTTTATTTCCCATATTCGATGATTTGTCTTTAGGGATTTCCTAACGTTTTCTTCAATATTTAGTGATTTCAGACACTTTTCCCCTATGATTCATTTGAATGTCATGAAAAAAAAAGGAAAAAAAATCTAAAAAGTATTTTATAATAAAAAAACTTATCGAAAACAACTTTATAAGAAAACAACAATAAAAAATGTTCTGTTATATTTTATTTTGTTCGTATCATGTTAATAAAGGGAGAGGAAACTTTAAAAAAAAGGGGAAATTTTAAATTCTAAGTAAAACTTTCCTGAAACCTAGTCAATGTTAGCGTTTTAGCGCATTTGTATATCCAATGTGGATATTATAAATAACATGTATTGATTTGTATGTGCACGCCCTTCATACGTAGCCAAGCAGAGCTCTGCGTCGAAGTGACACTATGGCTTCAAGGAGGATTTCTTCGTTGCTCTCTCGCTCCATAGCTTCTTCGCCTTCTTTACTTTCTCTCGGAGGTACAGTGCTTGCGATCGTTTCTGGTCGGTTTCCTTCCATGTTCAAATTGGATTCTAGATGCTCGAATATGACCCAGATCCTGCCGTCTCCTTGTTATCGCAATTAGCTGATCGCGTTTGTACTATTCGGAATCGTGTTCGGCGATTTTGAATCTCTGATAGCTATCGTTCTCGTTTGAATTTTGAATCTTCCTCAGTTGACAGGGGATCGTTTTTCTCGTTCGTTTGCTTGGCTCTCGAGAAAATAGACGGAATCAGCTGCGTTTTTGTAAAATTGAGATGAAAAAGACATCAGTATGTTTTTATGGTCCCAATTCTTTTGGAGATCCTTTCAAGGCGTCTCTTTTTCGAACTAAACGTGATGAACTCCTGATCCCACATGTATTCATCATTTCTCGGTTTTTTAAATCACTCTTATAGAGTCTAGATTACCGGATGCATCGTTAAATCTCGCTGCTTTTAATCCATTTCCACTCAATATTTCTCTGCTCTGAAATTCTCACGGGGTTTAGCTTAATTTGATGTTGATTGTCCGTGGAAATCTATCATGATTTGTTTTTGTACGTAACTTGAATTGGATATATGAACTTTTTTCTTCAGGGAAGAGCCCTCATGTCAGCAGAGGAGTTCACAGATACAGCACAGCTGCTGCTGCTGCCGCTGCTCTCGAGGTGCCGATCTCTCCACCGGTGAAAGTCGAGCTCACTCAGCTTCTAATCGATGGCAAATTCGTTGATTCAGCTTCAGGTAAACTCATCCATGCCAATTAATGTATGTGGAAACTATCAGATATTTGCTTAATCTAAGTCTTGATGGTTACGTCTTATGATACGGTGCAGGAAAGACTTTCCCCACTTTGGACCCAAGGACCGGGGACGTCATCGCTCATGTGGCCGAGGGCGACGTGGAGGACGTGAACCGAGCCGTCTCTGCTGCCCGCATGGCCTTCGATGAGGGACCGTGGCCTAGAATGACTGCTTATGTAATGTTTTCTTGTGCATATATGTGTTTAGGGATCATCCTTTGAAGCTAGACTCTTTCTTAACTTCGGCTTCTGTCCTGTCTTTTCTTCAGGAAAGGTCCAAGATCTTGCTGCGGTGTGCTGATCTGGTTGAGAAACACAACGATGAGATAGCAGCGCTTGAGACATGGGACAACGGAAAACCATATGATCAAGCTGCCAAAGTCGAAGTGCCAATGCTTACACGTCTTTTCCGATACTATGCTGGTGGGTAAAGCAATGTGGATATATTTTTATCATAACGTTTCTCTTCTCTTACAATCTTGTGTTCTTTGATGGGTTTCTCAGGTTGGGCGGACAAGATCCATGGTTTGACGGTTCCGGCCGATGGTCCGCACCATGTCCAGACTCTCCACGAACCAATAGGGGTAGCTGGGCAGATCATCCCTTGGAATTTTCCTCTTCTGATGCTCGCATGGAAACTAGGACCTGCATTAGCATGTGGAAACACTGTTGTCCTGAAGACAGCAGAGCAGACTCCCCTGTCTGCTCTCTACGTTGGGAAACTTCTTCTCGAGGTTAGATATGAATCTGGTGGTCCTTTTTGTTTTTGCAATCGATTTAGTATTCTATACGTAATCTGTTCCACTAATATTTTTGTTCTACCTGCTGAGAATTCCGGTTTCTCTGACAGGCTGGACTTCCCCCGGGTGTTGTAAACATAGTTTCTGGATTCGGTCCAACAGCTGGTGCGGCCATCGCCAGTCACATGGATATTGATAAGGTGGTGAAGAAACCTTGAACACGCTCTTCATTATTTTCTTTCCAGTTCTCCAATGATATTTGTCGTCTTGCTGTGAAACGTTCTTCTAGTTTCCTTGGAAGCTTCTTCAAGGAATTTATATAACTCAGAAAGTACTATCCAATCTCATACTAAAACTATCATACATGGGTTTTTGGTTCGTGGAAACGTTCAACATGTCTCAAAATCTGCCCTCTAATAAATTCTATTAATTCTCTGCAGGTGGCTTTTACCGGGTCTACTGGAACCGGAAAGGTGGTTCTTCAGTTGGCTGCCAAGAGCAATCTTAAGCCAGTGACTTTGGAACTGGGGGGCAAATCGCCATTCATTGTATGTGAAGATGCTGATGTAGATAAGGCAGTTGAGCTTGCTCACTTAGCCGTGTTCTTTAACCAGGTAACTAACATCAATGGTGAAACTTTACCCATGCTCTACCCTCAGTTGGTCTAACAGTACCGGTTGCTACAACTCAACTTAGAAACCAGTTTTTAAGGGGAGAGGAGCCATAAGTTTATATGCCACCAACCAATCCGATTTTGGTAGATAACCACGCTTCAGATCCCCTTTTCCGTAGTATGGATCTTTGACATTGAATGGCTCTGTGATACTTTAGATCATATTTCAGTTCGTGTTAGGCCTATGTCATTCACAATTAACTCGCACTTAAAAACTCTGGCTTTGTAGATGGAATGGATCCATCCGTATGCTTATAAGCCAATCAATCTTCTCCCATATTTAATGGACGTGTATCTGAACCACCTACTCTGGTTAATTTGTAGGGACAATGTTGCTGTGCTGGCTCACGCACATTCGTACACGAGCGTGTGTATGATGAATTTGTAGAGAAATCCAAAGCGCGCGCTATCAAACGTGCTGTCGGTGATCCATTCAAGGCGGGCATCGAGCAGGGACCTCAGGTAAACTGGCCTGATATCTGTAGAATCAGCATATGAACCATATCAAAATTACCTTCCTTAGATGAAATCAGTCACAGTGAGAAAACCGAAACAACAGAAACGCACCATGATTCATAATTAACTGAAGGGTGATTTTGCGGTGGAAAAAACAGGTAGATTCAGAACAGTTCAAGAAGATATTGAGGTACATTAGATCAGGAATCGAGAATGGAGCTACGCTCCAAGCTGGAGGCGACCAACTTGGCTCCAAGGGATACTACATCCAACCCACTGTCTTCTCCGACGTGAAGGTAAATCCAAAAAAGAAAAAAAAAAAAAGATACCCTCTATCACAGAAACTCAAACGTAAATCGAATTGCTACGAAAAAAGCAGATTATACACCGATATTAAACCTGGCAGGATGAGATGGTGATAGCGAAAGAAGAGATCTTTGGACCTGTTCAATCCATTCTCAAATTCAAGTAAGTGGAGACACACCAAGAAAGAAACTTTTCAAAAGGGTTCAATTCGGTAACAGAGAAAGCGCTTGAATAACCATCGTCGTCACAGGGATTTGGAGGAGGTAATAGCGAGAGCGAACAAGTCGTGTTACGGGCTAGCGGCGGGAGTGTTCACGCAGAACCTGGACACGGCGAACAGACTGATGAGGGCCCTGAGAGTCGGGAGCGTCTGGATAAACTGCTTTGACGTGTTCGATGCCGCTGTCCCATTCGGAGGGTATAAGATGAGTGGAATCGGCAGAGAGAAGGGAATCTACAGTCTCAATAATTACTTGCAGGTCAAGGCAGTTGTCACTCCCCTCACCAACCCTGCTTGGCTCTAAACCATCCATCCATCCCCCTTCTGTCCAGCTCTTTTTTTTTTTCTTGAAAGTTTCGTAATTTGGATACCGACCTTTTTTTTCCTAAAAAATAGTAGGGTTGGACATTTAAACCCGTTATCCGCGGGTTTACGAGTACCTGGTCTCATGGGTACCTGAAAAACGGGTACTCGACACATGATGAAGACGAAAACGAGTAATGGAATGAAGAAAATCCGCAGAACGGGTTTGAAAACGGGTTTTATAGATTTTAATAACGGGTACTTACGGGTACCCGTATATATACAAAATGACAAGATTATCCTTATATCTTTATATTATTTACCAAAATATCTAGAGTTATCTAATGTTATTCTAAAGTTTCTAGACAATTTTTCCACTTACCATCACCTGCTGCCGTCGTCCACTTACCATGAAGGTTAATGTCTCATCCCTCTCTTATTCTTTTTGGATAAAGGTCTCTCTTCTTCTTCCGCCGTCGTTGGAGCTTCTTCTTCCTCGGGCTGACGACGACGTTTTCTTCTGTGACTTCTTCGTTGTCATTTTCTTTGTCTTTTTTTCTACGTCTTCTTCCTCGTCTTTTCGTTCTGTTCATGCCGGAAATTGACTTTTTTGTCTTCATTGTTCGTGTCAGAAATCGACTTATTCTGTATCTTCTTCGTCTTCTTTCGAAAATCTGCTTCTTCGTCGTCGTCTCTGTTCGTGCAGGAAATCGGCTTCTTTTGCGACGTCTCCTCTCCGAGAATCGGTTCTTCATTGAGTTCTTGCTGCCAGAATCAGATTCTTCTTCGTCTTCGTCTATGTTCCTAAATGAAATCAGCATTTCCTTCTCGTATTTATTCAGATTGAACAAAATTAACAGTATCATATTTTACATTCTTGTATATATATGATTAAATGTCTTTTTAATTATCAACATATGTAAGATTGGTTGGAATTGAGGTTAATTTTTAGATTTTTCAAGTTTTATATGCGGGTATCCGTAGGTACCCGTCTTTTTATTAAGGTCAGATAATATGAGACATAGATAAAGGCAATATTTTTGTAAAACCCGCGAAGACGAAAACGAAGACGGGTATCTCAAAAACATGGATACCCGACCCGTGTACACCCCTAAAAATAGTTGTAATTAACGTCGTTCCCTCACCGTCATTCCGATTTGATTCTCGCAAGAAACAAAAACGAAATCGGAAATGAAAAAGACGGTCGATTTTTACGAGTTCAGTCAACGAGGGGAGTTCGGGCCTACATCTCGACCGGACGGTATCGGCAATATACTAAGAACCTCCGTTCGCAGCGAACTCCGGCGACCTCGACAACTCCGAGGCTCGACGGTTCAACTCCGAGAAAGAAACCGAAAGAGAAACACAACCGAAAGGACAAGAAATGGCTTCACCTGGAAACTCCATCGTGGTACAGTTCTGACCAATGACTTTGCCGCCTCCGATCACTTCCGGCGCATCCATCTTCTCCTCTTT